CAGGCCCTCACAATGCGGGCATGTGTACTCATGCTTTTGCTTTTCTTTGACTTTTTCCAGCCCTGACGCAAAACCGGTTGCCGCACACTGTCCAGTGATTAATTTGTCCCGTCGTAACATTGCTTGTGACCATGCCCCCGCAACGGGCATGTGTACTCATGCTGTTTCTTTGCTTGGACTTTTCCGTCACTGACGTAGAACCGGCTGCCGCACACTGCTCGGTGATCCACTTGTCCATTGGCTATCGTGCTCTCCACGGTCGCCTTACAGTGCGGGCATATGTACTGGCATGTCTTGGTGCCTTGGCTAGCGAGAGTCATGCTGCCTTGGCCATCGAGACCCTCTGGCAGTTTCCCACGCTTCCTCACCGGTTCCTCCCTTGCCTGTTCTGGCCCTGCGCGCTTACGTTTGATTTCTGCTAAGACTTCCGCGATGATGCGTTCATGCTTGCTGGCACGCGCGGCGGCCAGGCGGGCCACGGCTTTTGCCGCCGTGCCCCGTGGAAGCTTTGGCGGTTGGCTTTCCTGGCTTCTGAACTGGGTCTCGGGGCCCCGCACTGCAAAACATGCGTTCGCCTTTTGCGTCGTGCCTCGCGGGCGCGTTGCGTGCCCATGGGCCTGGCTCGTGCAAGCCAAGCATACTCGGGATCCACCTCGCGCATTCTGCTTCATCGCGCCGGTACTTGGCGACAAATGCATCTTCTTGCTTCCACATGTAGCAGGCCATGCATTGCCAAGGCTGCATCATCGCCCCGTGACGTTGGAGACATTCTTTGCATATTCTTGCCGCGTCCATGCGTTTCCATCGCCCGAGCGTGTATCCGGACGCAGGCTTCTGCTCTTTGCGCTCGGCACATTGCCGTTCTTCGCGGTACTTGGCCCGCAACGCCGCCCAATCCATGGTGTCTCCTCTCCAGAAGCGAAGCAGCAGGTCTCGCCCCAGCTTCGCTCCTCTTTGGAACGGCGCCGCGTCGAAGGGGCGGTAAATAAACAAACCTTGCCGGTCCCGGACACGTGTAATCGCAATGTATACTGTCAAGGGCTCTCCGGCTTCGCCGATCTGCAGGTCTGCGACCACTCCCTCCGGACAAGTCTGTCCTTGAGCGGCGTGGGCAGTCGTCGCAAAGGCGGGTGCCAGTGGGAATTGCTTGCGTGTCACGCGTAGCACCGGGCGCCGCCGCCCTTTGTCCAAGTACCATGGTTTCTTTTGCGCAGGTACTGGATACACATTGTCTTCCAGAATCCCCTCCACGCGCCAAGTGTCTTTGGTGTGAAATCGGACCATAATACAACCAGGCAATTCGTTCCAAATCTTTGTTTTTTCTTGGCTCTTTAGGTCTGAAGCTTCCTTTGGCCAGGCCCAACCAACCACTTCCCCCGGACACCCACGGGGAATGCCGCGGCGACGATCTAAGTGGTCCGTGGCCGTCACCGGCAGTCCAACGCAAAGGGGTAACACCCCATACAACGACCCACAGTCCTGGTCATGTCTTTGCAGCCACGCCAACTTTTCTTTGGCCAAGTCGGGTTTCTCGCGTAGCGCCGCGCTGGAAATGCAGTCCTTTGCGATGGCGTAGTGCAGTTGCTGCCCGGCGGCAGCAGCCAAATCTTTCGCACGCAGTTTGTTCACGTGATATTTTATTGCGTTGGTTGCGAAAATAGCTTTCGCACGCCCAAAGTCGTGCGATGGTCGAGCCCCCGCATCTACTACCCGCACCTTGGACGCACGCTCCCGCTTACATGCACCGCGCTCTCCCTCGCGAATTTTCGCCGGCGTTGCCTTTCCTGTCATCAAGGCGTGGCAGGTTGCGCAGCCACAATCTAGTCCCTGTCCATTCCAACTCCCTGGCACATCCGTCTCAGCTCCATGCAGGAAAGCGTGGTTTGTCGGGGACAATGTCCCGTTGCGAATCTCGTTCTGAAGTGTCTGCAACCACACGTCGTGCGTCCGCTCGCATTCAACGAGTTCCGTCACGCCGTGGAGCCCTTGTGGCCGAGGCCAAGCAGATCCAGAGCGTTTTGCCGTGGCTCCGCTGCCTACTCCTGCACTGCAGCCTTGCCTGCGTCAGGCGGGAGCCTTGAGAGAGCCTCTGGAACGTGCAGCCTGTGGACTGCAGCCTTGGAACTGAGCCTCTGGAACCTGCCACCTCGGCCTGCGCCTCTTTTCTTTAGCGTCCCGAAGGCAACGCGCCAGGCGCCTTCCCGGCACCTTCAAACCCTTCCCGGCACCTTTGGCTTAGGCCCCAAGCGCACGTTTGGCCTACTCCTGCACCGCAGCCTTTGCGTCAGGCGGGAGTCTGGGGAGGGAGCCTCTGGAACGTGCAGCCCATGCGCTGCAGCCTTAGAACTGAGCCTCTGGAACCTGCCACCTCGGCCTGCACCTCTTTTCTTTAGGGTCCCGAAGGCAACGTCCAGGCGCCTTCAAAAGCTTCCCGGCGCCTTTGGCCTACTCCTGCACCGCAGCATTGCCTGCGTCAGGCGGGAGCTAGGGAGGGAGCCTCTGGAACGTGCAGCCCGTGCACTGCAGCCTTAGAACCGAGCCTCTGGAACCTGCCACCTAGGCCTGCGCCTCTTTTCTTTAGGATTCCGAAGGCAACGTGCCAGGCGACGTCAAGCATTTTAGCTTCAAACGCTTCCGGGAGCCTTGGGAGGGAGCCTCTGGGACCCACAGTCCCCTGAGGCCATTTGGTCGCTCCTTTATATAAGCAGTTGTTCTGTCTTAGGTCCACGACCACCACCATTGGTGTCCACAACAGAACTATGTCCAACTTCGGTTGTTGCCTTCCTAGCCATGCTGCCTTGTCTCACAAAAAAGGGGTCGGCGGCACCAGGGCGGAGCCCTTACAATAATATATATATATATATATAACATTATATAACATATATATATATATAACACAACATTGCCTTAGAGCAACCCTTCAATTCTACACAACATTAAACAACTATGATCTACCTAGTCAACAAGGCATAGCACCTGATGAGATAGAACATATTTTTGCATTATACATAATATATATGTGACAATTCTGAATGGTGCTTATGACAAATCTCAATAGTAGCAGCTGAGAATGGTGCTTCTCCATAGGCTTGACTTCGTATGTGCCAGGACCGGGGGTAACGAGACCTCCCAAAGCAAGAGCAAACTCGCACAACCAACGTCAATAAAAGCAGCTTTTGCGTTCCAAACCGCCTGACTGCACAGAAAAATGAAGCTGACAATATCCGCCCAGCCCGTAGTTCGTAAAAAGCGCTCAGGAGCATGCCTCTGATGGGAATTTGACCGCGCGGTGACCCCTGACAAATGCATTCCATGCGTTACCGGCCCACTGCTTTCCATGAATTATGATATTACTTCTTCTGCACATGTTACTAGTAGAAACAATAAGCTACTAGTAACAAGTGCATCGCTACTAGTAACAAGTGCCTTACTAGTAGTAACAAGAAGCTTATTGTATCTAATAGCTTCTTGTTACTACTAGTAAGGCACTTGTTACTAGAAGCGATGCACTTATTACTAGTAGCTTCTTGTTTCTAATAGCTTCTTGTTGCAAATCGTTCAAATCCACACCTGGCTTCCGACACCTGAGAGCCAGGTGTAAGAAGTCACACTGGAGAAGCAAAAGGAGTTGACCGTCTATCCATCTCAATTTGTCAGAAGCACTGGAAGTTGGATCTTGAGCTGCAAGACCTGCGACAGGAGCTACTTCGTGTCTTGACGCCCAACGCGCAAGTTGTCGTTGCGGGGCCTCGGTCCCTCGGAGTTAAGCTGGCTCGCAGTCCAGCAGTGCCTGTGAGAATTCTTGCGATGAATCGAAGCCGTTACAACTGCACTTTTTGTAAACGTTACACTCCCGAAAACTAACATAGACCCTGACAATGGCCCCCTGGAAGATTGTTTCATCTACAAACCAGTTGTTCTCAGGACTCAGGGTCCATGTTAATTTTCAAGGGTGTATTCAATCTCAGTAGGCACCCGGCCAAATGAGAACTTTGGGCCTGCCTGCCACAAGCTTGTAGGAGGAGAGCCCGGACTTGCCCCAACTCCCGCCTTGATGGTCGAAATCTTGGTCATGGCTGGGTATGCAGAACCACCTCTGATGCACAACACGTTTTGGACCAAGAGGTCATACTGACTGACTGTAGCGTGGTCTTACTGTCAACCATGCGCTATCAATCTTCAGAAGACCAGCCTGGTCTATCTGGACCAGCATGAGCCTGTGGCATCACGCCTGCATATCCAGAAAAACGCAATGTGTTTTGTCCTAATGTTGTTTAGTACTTCTGTCTTAGGAACATTGGACCTTTGTTTCTATGTCCATGTTGTACATATTGCCTCTTCAATACCCGTAATCATTTCATGTCCATTTGCTTCATCTTCAATTTCCACTTCCCACAATATGCGTGCCTTCTGCAAAAAAGCTGACGTGCTAGCTGCGACACCACGCAAGAACCCAAAGTGCAGGCTATGCCCCAACATTTACAAATACTGTTTGAACATGCGTCACATGAGTGGTGAATGGATGGCAGCAAACCACGAGAGCTCTGACCACAGCAACAAGTCGTTCAGCCAGATTCAACCATGTAGGAGCACACTGCACACCAGCGCAAATCTACGCAGGAGGTCAATGTGTGCACCATGCTGCCCCACCGAAAAGGAGCCAACCCAACGAATAAAAAACAACAGGAACAGCATTCGACCAAATCTCACGCGTGACATGCCATGACCTTTTCAGCTTGAAATCAAAGCGGCGTCGGCGTAGTCGCTCAGCGCTTGCCCAGGCTGGCATCTGTGGGGCTGGCGGGCTGCATGTGCTTTGCCCAACAGATCAACGGGTCAACGGTCAGAAGGAGCAAACCGACTCAATGAACGAAACAATCCTACATACATCATAACAGTCATAACTCATAACGCGTACATATTTGAATATGCTTATATAATATTACAGTTACATAATTCTGAAAATCCATACATATTACGGCAATTTAGTATCAGTTGTAGCGCTCTGACTTTCGGCTTGTGATGGCTTATGAACTGGCTCAGGCTACCGAAAGCAACGTTGGTTGAGGCACTGCTTTCCTATTCGATGTGTTTCCCGGAGTGGATGTTGTGGTAGGTAGAGCGCAACTTTTAGAGAGTGGGACGCCACCAGGCCCCCCAAGATAGGTGGTTGTCAGTGTTTTTCTTGAACCCATGCATATGATTTATAAGATTGTTTACAGGTCTTATTCAAATATGCTATGTTGTATGTTGACGACATAATATCATTAGTATATCTGAAGTATTTCTCAATTAGTTTAGTTTTGGGTATTTACAAGTATATATTTATTGATATTGTTTAGTTTTTGTTCATCCTTCGGTGTTCAGTCTCTTAAACAATTTCAGCAATATTGTATGTTCAAACATATTGTCAATCATTGCATCAGCATATTGTTTCATAACCTGTTGTATTTGTCATGAACTGATTTTAGTGGTATGACGTGTGGCAAAAAATGTTCAACAAACTATTTGGCCTTCCAATAAACACTCAATTGCCAAAACTTATACCAACAAATATTGTTTATTGGTATGACATCACCGTTCAACAAAACTATGTGGCTTTGCACTAAACACTCAATCCGATGAAATAGAGTTGATCAATTGCTATGACATAAACTTATGAATAACTATATAAATCTATTTTAACATCACCAATTTTTTCCAAAAATGCATCACCTTCAAATTAGTGTAAGAATCCATTAGTAGGGCATACAAATAGCATTTTGTGTAGCCTTTATAAACCATTCTCTGGCAAATGTGACCTTTGCGTGCTCCTGCAAGTAATATCCTAATCATTACCTGGTTCACTTTCTCACTTTGACTAACAATATCGTCAGTATCATACTCATCATGTTGAATTTCTCTATGTTGAGATGTTGGTATTTCAACAATTTGATTTTATACAAATGGGCAACGTTCATTAGGTATAAAGTTAATATCCGCCATCCTTGCTCACTCCACAGCCTCCAATCTTATTGTGAAAACATCAATCTTAACACTATACTGCAATACCAGCATGCTTCAGTTTAAAGTAGGTTTTGTACATTCCAACAATGGTGCTGCAAAAGAAGCTCTTTGATATAGCTATTTGTCAGCTCCTGAACTGGTTTTAGTTGTTTGGTATCACGTGTTGCAAAATATATAGCTCAACAAACTATGTGGTTTTCCAATATTCGCTGAAACCGATGAAATAGATTTGATCAATTGCTATGACATCAAATTCCAAATAACTAAGTGGTTCCATTTTAACATCACCAGAACTTTTACCAACAATATTGTTTATTGGTATGGCATCACCTTCAAATTAGTGTAAGAATCCATTAGTAGGGCATGCAAATACAGTAATATTGTGTGGCCTTTATCAACCAGTCTCTGGCAAATGTGACCTTTGCTTGCTCCTGCAAGTAGTACAGTATCCTAATCCTTACCTGGTTCACTTTCTCACTTCGACCAACAACATCATGAGTATCATACTCGTCATATCGAATTTATATTGTTGGATATGTTTGTATTTCTAGATTTTTTTGCTACAACTTGGTAAAGTTCATTAGGTAATTCAATATCCACATACTTGCTCACTCTCCAGCCTCCAATCTTATTGATAAAATCCACTCCCGTGGGTTCTTTTCATCTTCAGCCTTGATGGTGAAAACATCAATCTTAACACGATATATACATACTGTAATACCAGCATGCTTCAGTTCAAAGTGTACCGTAGGCTTTATACATTCCCCAAATTGTGAACATTAGTGTTCAAAGTAAAAAATGTTATTTTTCACTCTGATCTACTAGACTTGGCTGGACGCTCCAACTCTTCTTTCTTGAGAGGAGGGTTGACCGAAAAACATTACAAAATATCCAACTCTCCTACATTTGCTGGAGTTTCTTCCTTGGGAGGGGGGTCGACCAAAAAAACAACTGTTTAATCCCGAGTACCTATTAAAAAACGGACACCTATTAGAAAAAAGTCATGTCGGAAACCCCTAAGTACGGTTTATATTTGTTTTTAAATTACCGCCCTTTCAAGCCGCTACTAAACTACCAACATTGCCGACTTTGGAGGAGTTGTTTTTATTAGGTTCCAAAAACAACCGTAACTGCCCACCTCTGTCCGCCCTGTCTATCCACCATGACACGCCGCGCTTACACCAGCAGGCTTTCCTTCCCCCAATGGCACAGACTCACGCAAACGCACTTGCCACCGAGGTCATGCAACACCGCATGGCACAGCGACATCACCTTTCGAAAGCTTTAGCTGTTAGTCTACTGAAGAATCACTATTCTAATGAAGGTTTTTGGTAGGGGAAAAGGAAGACCCTTCGATCTGGAGCTTTTATTGCATTTTTGATACGAGTTTAATAAAGAATTTTATATAAATCTTTACTGATTTACTTACTGGTTTTGAAGCTCTTCCCAGGTGACCCTATTTTGGACCCCCCGATTTCAGGGACCCCCTATTAGAAAAAATGCGACCGAGGTTTCCTTATTGGGGGGGGGGGCGTGTTTTTCAATAGGTGGACCGGATTATATGGTTTGAAAGCTTTTGTTTTTTGACCTTCTTCTGGCCTTTGCCAAAGGCTCCTAATCTGGAGGGGGGTCGACCAATTCTTTTTTAGTGGACCCCTCGTCCCAGCCTTTGCCAAAGGCTCCTAGTTTGCTACACCTTATGGATGCTTTTATTAGAGAAGTCTAATTTTTCTTGGAGAGACAGCGTCCCTTGTTTCTTTCTATCGATCCAGGTTGTACTTTTGTACTCTTTGCTAGATTTTTTTGATTACGATCAGCCAAAACACATACTATCTAGATATAAAGATAATATATTGCATGTTTATAATTCATTGTATTCCCGGGGTCCCAGAAACGTGTATTTTTGGGGGCCTGACAGCGTCCCTTTCTGAACTTTTAATCACACTAGAATCCTTCCCTTCAACGTGCCTTTATGAAATGTTGTAGCTTCTGCTCAACAAGGGCATCTGAAATGGATTGGTTTTAGTCCGTCTACGAGTCTAAGCGTCAACTCCCGAAAAAGCACTAAACAAAATTAATGCTCTGTCTATATTGTGGTCCACTGTCTGCTTGGATTAGCTTGCGGGGCTCCTGACACACGGTAGCTAGTTGTCCACGCAAAGAAGGCAAGCAATGCTGTGCAAAGCTTGCGTGCTCAGGTGGCAAACCGCGCTTGGCATGAGCAGCGACTTGTGCTGTGACAGAAATTTGAACACCATGTATATACAATTACAAGTAAGTTGCCCTTGTCAAGTATTACAGTACACCTCAAGCTTCATTCGCCAGACAAACAACAAAGTGAAGTGAAGCGTAGTGAACAAAACTTGGCTTGCAAAGCAGTGTGCAGCTCTTCGACTCCGACAATAAGTCTAAGTCTTGACCGGCCCCTGGCAAATGCCAGTCGCTCTAAATTTGTCAAGAAGAGTGAATGGGGGAATCACATTAAAGTCTATATTCAATTGAAGTCATGAATTTGACAACATGTCTAACTTGTACGCAGTGCGCACTGGTTTTTTCGGGTTTCTTGTGCTATCTCTGCTGGAAGCGGAAAATGCCATGAATGGGTTGAGCTTTGGCCGGCCAATATAGCTATGTACAATTGCAACGAAAAATAATGGTTGAATTCATTGAATTGAAGCACCTACACGAATGAAATTTGCAGTGCTTGGCTGAACACTGGCAAAACTACTGCTTCACAATATCACCCAGCTCTTTGGATTCCTTGTGCCAAAATGAGGCTGGCATGCTCAAATTCAAGGGCCTGCACCACCCAGGCCAAGTCCTTTCCTCGGACCGCCTGACGGTGACCGATAGCCCATAGTTATTGAATGTTATTGATATTGATGCTGTAGAACATTGTAGAACCATGCAAACCATGTATCAACCAGTTTTTCAGAAGTGCGGATGACACATGTGTTCAGCATCCCCTACTCCTTTCGCACGATCTTCAGCCAAGCAGTGACACATGAAAGAGATTGACAGCCATGCGCATCCCTCTGCTCACTTTCGGCAAAGCCAGCCTGGCAGCAAATCTTGTCCAATTTCCGCTGTTCATTCGTCAGCCAAGCAACGGAGCCCAGAAAATTATGAGCAAAATATGCCGACCACTGACCAAATGCAACTTGTTTGGCATCTGATGTTGGATCATCCCTACCGATTACTCACGGGGGCGTCACCTAATCGTGGGTTGCAATTTCCTACGTTTGGCATGTGCAAAGTGTAACCTAGAAATTATGATGTGCCTCAAATTTATTATGGTTGATCACTTGGTTGATCTTACGATTCAGTCGGACGATCTTCCCGGACAGCTTTTGAATCATAACAAATGACAAGCGCAATAGTTTTGCCACAAATCCTGACGCAAGAAAACAACTTGAACATAACTTTCCCATTCTTTCCCAACATGAAGTTTGTCAAAATTGTGAACGTGCTTGGCACCCGTCGACAAACAACCAATAAATATATAAATATGATGGAAACATATGGAAACAAAAAGATTTGCAAAGTTCTGCAGGAATGTGCCGGCATTGAGACATTGCATTCTTGTGCTCAGGTTCGCGCTCACATCATTGCAGCCAAACTTATTCTGTAAGTGCGTTCCGCTCCACAGTTGATGCTTCTCCCGAAGAAGAATGCAAAGATTCAAAGTTCTATTGAATTGCTATAGCACTGCCCTCTTGGAGATCCGAAGCACTCTTTTTTGGCATTGTCTTCAAGAGTCATCGAATTACAGTAACCCCTTTC